GCAGTTTGTATTTGGGGTGGGCAGAACAGTGGCTCCCCAAAGGTGTGTCCACATCCTAATCCCTGCAACCTGTGGCTACATTGTTACCTGGCAAAGGGGGACTAAGGATGTAGACAGAATCAAGGTTGCAAATTAGTTTTAAGATAGGGAGATGAGCCAGGTACAGTGGTGCACACCTACAATTCCAGCAGCTCAGGAAGCTGAGGCAGGAGGATCCCAAGTTCAAAGCCAGCTTCAGCAATTTAGCAAGGACCTAAGCAACTTGGTGAGACCCTGTCTCAAAAAAAGGGGGGGGGCAGGGATGTGGCTCAGTAGTAAAGTACCTCTAGGTTCAATCTGGTACCAAAAAAAAAAAAATTTAAATGATGTCATAAAAAGAATCTGACTTGCTTTTGCAAGGTAACAGTAAAGGAAAGTCTCTGAGGCAAGAAATTTTTACAAGAAACTGAAAAAGACAGGGAGGTGGCCCCTACCCAGAGCCTATAAAGAACTGCAGCCCTGTGACACCTTGGTTTTTGCCTCATGAGAACTGTGGCAGACTTCTAACCTACAGAACTGTAAGAAAGTAAATCAGGGCATTTTAAGGCACCAGGTTCATGACGATTTGTTAGAGTAGCAACAGAAACTGATAACAGTGAAAAACTGTGTTTTTCAAAGAGTTGGTCCATTATTTCCTCTAAGTTGTCAACTGATTTTACAACTTTCTTATTTAGAGTTGTTTGTAATATATTCACTTATCCTTTTAATGCTGAGTCCATAGTGATATCTCTCTTTCATCCCTGATATTGGTGATTTGTGTCTTCCCTCTTTTTCAGAGAACCATCTTTTATTTTCATTGATTTTCTCTAGCTTTTCCATCTTCGATTTTATTGGTTTCTGCTCATTATTTCTTTTTCTTGCATTCAACGGGTTTAATTTGCTTCTTTTACTAGTTTTTTAAAATTACCTTTGCTTTTTAATCTGTTATTTAATCATAAGTTTATATATATAATTTGTTTATATATAAATATTTATATTTATATATATATATATATATTTGGTTTTTTTTAAACAAGAGCTATATTTAACAACCAGTTCACCACACTTCTAATCCTCAGGACTCTCTCACACATGGTGTCTGGCCCTTTTTTTCCCCTAGACTTCTTTCTAAGGCTCCAGACTTTGGCCCCAGCTTCCTGTTCAACATCCCATTTCAATGTCCTATGGACACCTTGATATAAACATGCAAACCATGCYACACAAAGGCCCAATCCTTTCCCATCCTCTTTTACCTTCCCTATTTTTGTTACTCACACCTCCACCTACCCTTCACTCCAGCCCAAAGTGAAGCTGTGTCCTTTGATGCATCTTGCCTCACACACCACATCCAGCCAGGGATCCCCTCAGCTCTACCTGGAACACCAAGCTTGTAGCTGAGGCCTGCTCCCCCACCACCCTGGCCCCCACCAAACTGAATGGAATCTGCACCTGTTTCCAGGCTCTGTCCTGGCCTCCATCATCTCCTCTCGCCATTTGACAAGAGGGATACTGTCCCAGCAGGTCTTTCCTCTGTCCTCAAATTCCTCCCCACAGCCTGTGAGCCTGTTCTTCCTTGCCCACATTCCTCCTCCCTGCTGATTCRCCGCTTTTCTTGCAATGCCCCAGCCACGTTTCAGCCTGAGGACCTTGCTTTCACTTCACCCTTGGTCAACAAAGCACTTGCCCAGGTTCCCTCATGGTTTCCACTATGCTTCCTTCACACAGCAACTCTCCAGAGGCCTTTCTGGCATCCTGGTCCCTTTGAGGTGTTTTGCTGTCCTTTAGTGCCCTGGCATTCACCTGGCCTCACACTGAAGGCTTGCTTGTCACAGCTCAGATGAGGTCCTGGCCTGAAGCAGTCCTCCATCATGTGTGGAAGGAATGAATGAAGGAGCAGCAACCAGGGGATGCCTAGAGCCCCCACTTCCTCATGCTATCAGGATGAGGGTATACCCTTGGCAAGGCTGACAGGACCCTGGAGGACATGGTCACCACTGACCCATGTGGCTCCACCTTGGGCCACATGCCCCTCAACCACACCACTTCCTCCAGCAACAATTACCCCATGGGTTTCTTGAATGGACCACACTCCCCCCTCAGGCCCTGCTGCATCTTCTGGGACTGAAATCCCCTCCCTACCTACCTGATTTGTCCTTCGAGCCTCCTCAGGTTTCAGTTTGATTATCATCATCTCAGGGAGGCTTCCCTGACCCATCCACTAGGTCCGGGGCTTCCTTAGCTTCACCACAGCATATGTCATACTGCGCCTCCCACCCTAGCTCCCTGACGGCAAGACTGTGACTTACTAACCTCAGAGTCTTGAGGCCCAACATGTACTAATGCATAATCGATAAGAATCTGAATGAAAGGCTGAATGAACAGTGAGTTAATAAAAACTGAGACTGCCGAGAGACAGAGTGGAGACCTTCACCTACACGCCAGTCCCCATGCCTTTCAGCCTCCCAGAGGGCCTGGTTCAGCCCATTCCAGGAGCAGGGTACCAACAATCAGGGTGTAAGCCAGCCATAGCTCAGTCTACTCCTGGACATAAGGACAAGAATCCTGTGAACCCAACATGTGACAGGGAGAAAAGACAGGACCCAGGCAGGAAGAAGTCACATCAACCAAATTCTGGCGGTTGCAGCCCCCATTACCATTCCTTGCCTAACTTCAGGCCCAGGCTGCACTCCTTGGCCACAGTTTCCAGGATGGCACCCAAAGGGAAGGCAGAGAAGGGGGTACCTCCAGACCTGCAGATGACAATAAACAATGAATTGGATGGTAGGACCAGAATCACCCCCAAGCAACCCAAGCCAGAACCCTGGCTCACTTGCTGCCCAACTCCTTGGAAGGCGTCATTGGATTTTCTCCTGGGCCTAACAGGTTGCAGACTGACCTTCCCCTGCTGATGACCCGTCTGAGGATGTGTTGGGGTTAAGAGGGTGAAGTAGTGCCCCAACAGGCCTGCAGCTCAGTGGCCTGGCAAAGATTTAGTTTCCTCATTGCTCTTCCCCAGTGCTCCTTCCTCTGTTCCAGAGATCCCCCACAGCTCATGGCCTGAGTCTCCCCTGGCTGTACAGATATGCTATTTTGTGAACATATGTGAAGGCAGAGGGGACACTGAGACCTCAATTGGACCTGTACTAGTRGCATTCCTTTCATGCGAACCCCTTTTTATGCCCCCAGATCAGCCCCTGGTGGTTGTAGAGGCCTCGTGGGCTCTGGGATCTCTAGCCCYAGCCTTGTCCTGCCACCACCCCAGGGGCCTCACACAGCTCCTACATTCTTGCCAGCCCTTGTTCAAGGCCTGCATCTGATCCACATCTCAGTGCTCACCTCTGCAAGGACAAGCCTGGACCAGGCTCATACCCAGCAGCAACCTCAAGCCTCCCCTCTCCCAGGGCTGTGGTGCCTAGGTAGCATCATCCCCCCCTCAGTTCCATTCTGCTGACATCATCTCCAGAGTGTCTGACCTTGGCCTTGGCCAGGACCCAGCATGACCTTTCTGAACTGTGTCCCATCTAGGTGGCCACAGCAGCTATGCCATCTCTCCTGGGCTTGTTTCTACAGCCTGTCAATGTGAACTGCACACAGCCTTCTGCAGCATAGTTGGCGCAGCACATCCCAGCTCTGGTCTCAAGCTGTATGATCTCAGGCAGATCATTTAGTCTCCCAAGCCACCTCTGTAGAATACATCCCTGAGGCTGGGAGAGACTGAAACAGTGGTACCCAACAGTTGGCAGACTGCAAGGCTGATGCTCAGTATGCCCAAGCCTAGAGGCATCCCACCTGGGGAAACTGTCCCTCCAAAGAGTTAGCCTAGACTCCTGCTCCCCTGGAAGCAGCTCTGCACACCTCTTCCCCATAATTCCTGGGCATAGTGGAAGGTGGGCAGGAGATGGGCAGAGAAGAACCAGAAAAGGGACTACAAGGAATGAGGCCACCCACTTACCCCATGTTTCTCTGGGCCTCAGTTTCCCCTCAGCTCAGTGAAGCTGAGATTTCTATAAGTTAGAACTGATGTCAGGGAGAGGAGAAGCGTGGCCTGCACTGGCCTTCCTGACTTCCTGACTGGAGGCCAGGAGGTGCTGCCTGAGCCAGCGGGAGTGAGCCTCTGGTGCATTGAGAAAGGCTGAAAAACAAACGCACCAGAATCCAAATCAGGAAAGCCCAGAGCTGGGGTTGCCATGGCAACTTGCAGCAGCTCCCAGCCTGGTGCTCAGCTTTGCTGGAGTGGGGGCTGAGCCTGATTTGCCAGGCTCGGCTGCCCCTGCCTCCTTCTCAGGCTAGCCTGGCACAGGCCAGAACACAGAGGAGGGACAAGGGCACAGACAGAAGGGTGGCATGGCTTTCTTGGGTTCCCTCTACTAGCTGTAGCGAGATCGCTCTTTTCCCAGAGTGAGACCTCCACCCAAGGGCCTCCAGAATCCCACCAACAACCCACAGTGCCCTTCCACCACCCATGCCCCGGCACCAATGGTTCCAGCAGCTCTAGCCCATCTGCTGCCTGGCTGGCAAAGCATCTTGTGTGGAGATGCCCTAGGGCTTCACCAGTGCCGGTAGTCTTGAAGCTGCTTTCTGGACTCAGATAGAAGGGGTGGTGAGATGATCCCCCAGACCTTCCCTCATTGCTGGGGTTAGGACAGGGCAAGCCTGGGTGCCAGGCACTGGTGTAGTGCTTTGTGCACATTCTCTTTCCTGTAATGAAACTCTTTTTTGACAGATGAGGAAACAAGTTCAAAGAGTTAAGTGACTTCCCAATGTCACAGAGCTACTGCATGGTAAAGAGCCAGAGTTTTCCAACTCCTGAGCCCAAATCCTTCCTATGGAGCCTCTCAGTGAATGGCCATATTGACCATGCAACATGTCACAAAGGGCCCATTACCCAGAGACTCATTTACCCTTGAGGCCTCCAAAGCATGGAACCCAGCCACAGGCTGAGCCCAGTCTACACAGAAACGTGGAAGACAGACCACAGCCTTCATGTCTTCATTTAATGGCCAAGCCAGCCCTGCCCAGGTGAAGTTCATGCCCCAGTAGGGAAATCTTCCCTCCTGCCTGATGTCCCCTGGAAGGCTACCTAGCTGGGAGCCCTCAGCCTCATTAGCAGAATCTCAGTCCAGTCCTGGCATCAGGGCCAGAGTCTCATCTAAGCTCCTTCAGCAGGCTGTTGATGGAGGCCAGCAGTTCTCGGAAGTATCCTTCATCCTCCCCTTCTTGGAGCTCCAGGGCAGCCAGTGCCTTGTACTCAGCCTGCAGGCTGCTCAGTGTCCTGCTGAGCTGGGGGTCCTGATGATAGAGGTCCCGACAGGTGGCCAGGAGGGCTCCCAGCGTCTGAAGCACCTTTTCGCGTGCATCATGCTCTGGCAGAGCCAGGAGGTGGGCTGTGATCTCACACCAGCCCTGTTCCCGCAGGCCTGGCAGGAGATGCACCTGGCGGTACTGATGCAACTTCTCTGGGGATGTGTCTTGGGTCAGCTCAGCCTCCTCCTCTGCAAACATCTGCCATCCACACAGCAAGGCACCAGGTAGGGAGGGGTGGCAGGGAGAAAACACAGAGAGCAATCAGCTTGTCCCAAACTGTCTCTGCCTTTCAGGTGCCAAGGCCTGAGGTAAGCCAGGAGGCCCACCTGCTGTCTATGTCTACCTTTTGGGCCTCCAAGGATTTCCTGGGAGGTCAACTGGATTCCTGGCTTTACATAAGTTCTCCATCTATCTGTGTGTCCCTCTGTCTGTCCATCCACCCATTCATCTACTTACCATATCTCTTGTGCACTATGCCAGGTGCTGGGAAATCAAGATGGGGACATGGTCCTGGCTCCCAGGTTCTTGCAGAAAAATAATTCCTAAATAGCATGATGACTTTACCCTTGTGGTGCAGCGCAGGTGCAGACAGGCTGGGTTCAAATTCTGCTCCACCAACGACTAGCTGAATAAGTGCAGGCTGGCCCTTAGCCTCTGCGAGGCCCAAGGCCACTAGCTCTCAAGCAGAGTCACTAGAGTCTCACTCTAGTGGAAAAATGAGAATGCAGCCAGTGCCCAGCACACTCAACTCTAGCTTCCATACTAAGTACAAGGACACCAAATACTGGCTCTATCGGCATTATTATTGGTCATCATTTTCCCTCTACTGGTGCTTGAGGGAGTGACTGCTGCTGTCAGGACTTGGAGGACAGCAGAGGATGTAATTGCTCTGATTCCTAGGTAAGCACGAGTTGTCCAAGGGGACAGGATGAAGGGTCTGTCCACATGGAAGGACTGTGACAGTAATCCTGGGACAAACCTCATGTTTTAAGAATGGCACATGGTACTGGTCACACAGGAACAGGGTCCCAAGGGTGGACTGGGGCCCTGAACACAGAGACCTCTAAGAATGTCCCTCTAAGGACAGTGGCCTTTATGCTGAGGGATGGGGGAGTTGGGAAAAGTTTGGGCAGGGAGTCACATGCTCAGCCTGTGTCTGTAAATGCAAAGCCTTGGCTCTATCAATAGAATATGGTGGAAACCAAGCCTGCCAGGTTGCCAGCCAAGTACTCAGCTTAACTATTTCAAATATCAGGGAGGCTGGAAAGACTTCCCTTACAGTTGCACTAAATGTACCTGTGAGGGAAAAAAAAAAAAAAACAGGAAACCCTGTTCTGACCCAAGGGGAGATGGAGAGTGGGGAGAATGGGCAAGGCAAGGGGGATACCCAGGCAAAGACCAGGGATAGTGGTGGACCACCTGATGATGCCGGTGGTAGCACAAAGCCATGGGCTACTGGGGGCTGGAAAGGAAGCCACAGAGGAGCAAGAGGGACAAAAAAGGCTGAGAGAGACGCTGAGGTACTTTTCTACCCTATCCTCAAAAGTCCTGCCAGCTCTACATCCCAAACACAACCCAATCCTCCCCTCTGCCTCCACACACATCCTATTCCTTGCTGAATGTCTGCAGCCCCCCACCCTCGTGCTCCCAACCTGCCTCATCCAGTCCTCTGATAGCTGCCAGCCCCAAGCTTTTCCACCTGGCATTTTCTTAAACCCCTTCCCTAGGACATCAAGCACTGCCTGGCTAGGCCTATGCCCCTTACTCCAGCGCCTGCCACCACTCCTGCCCCCCAGGGCCTTTGTAGCTGCAGCTCCTGTGTATTACCACACAACCCCAACTCCAGGGAGCTCCTCTCACCCCTCAGAGCTCAATGCCACTGTACCTGCCTCCCATGACCATAGGCTTAGATGTTCTGTGAAGATTCTCTCTCAAACATCTCTCTGGAAGCCCTGGGAAGACATGGGCTAAAGACTATTCCCCCAGCACCTGGCCCAGCATTGGGCAGGATAGACCCCTAGTAAACACTGTGGAAGGAGTTTCAGGCCACGTCAGTCCCAATGCACACTTCAGAGGACAAAGGMTCATTACCCCAAGCAAATGCCCACCTCTGCTAGAGCCCAGACACCAAGGCTCAGTCACTTGGAAGAATCTCCATTGGCCAAGAAGGAAAGGGTCTGGGGAAGAGGTGGTCCACACTTCCCAAGGAATTCCCTAATTCAACTGCTGTCTCTCCAACCAATGCCTTGTGGTACACAGCAGCCCTGCAGGTAAGCTAGGATCTGGATAGCTCTTCATTCTTCCTTAGGAACTTCAAGAAAGAAGCCTACCCACTTCACCTCAAAATCCCTCAGCCCTCCACTGTCCTCCCTAGAGGAGGATGGCCCTGTCCATACTGTTTGCAGAAATATGTGATGGCCCTGTCTCCCTGATCACCCAGGGCCTCACCTGTGCTAGGCAAGTGCTTTATCCCTAAGCTACAACTCCAGCCCCATGGCTATTTCTGGCCTTCAGTTGTGCTGACCCCTGCCTGCATGTTTGGTCTTGACCACTGCCAGCACTTCCTCTCACCTACTCTCAAGTTTCAGCTGAGGTGCCAACACCCCACAGGACCTCCTCCCCAATGTCCCACATTCCTTCCTTCCATCAATCCATCCATCCATCTGGACAGAGAGATGGAACAGAAAAAATTTGGGAGAGGACCTGAGTTGAATGGCCAGAGGGAAACAAAAAGCAAAGTGAAGAGGAGGCAGGGCAGGCCCAGGCACTCACCTTCTCAGTGACCAGGTCATAGAGCAGGGTGACTACACGCACAGCCAGCACCTCTGTGCTCTTCTCTTGCACCAGGTCCCTGAGGACCTGCAGTCCCCCCAGCTTCAGGAACTGCTGCTGGGCATAGGGGAAGTGGCGCAGCAGGGAGCACAGTGCAAACAGGACCTAGGAGGCACAGGCAGGACATGTGAGGGGTCCTACAGAGTTGGACCTACCTCAAGGCCCAGAAAAGGCAACTGGAGGTGACCTGGTGACCCAGCCCAGCCCTTGGGTCCTGACTCCCCAGTCCCCTTGGGTCCAACTATACACCAGAACTCAGTGTATAGTTGAGGGACCTCAGATACATTTTATATCACCAAGCAGACAAATGGTGGGTAAACGGAAGCCCAGGGCAGGAAGTTGGGGATGGGGCCCAAAGCTCCCTGCAGGAGCTGCACCCAAGCCTCCAGACACCTCAACACACTGCCATCTGTTTTAGTTGAGCATGACTTCTCTACATAATCCCGTGGATGAAGCTCAAGCCCCAAGGATTGCAAGTACTGAAAAGGGAGCCTTTCCTTTCAGACCCCAGGTGTGCTGGGCTGAAGGGAGGGGCAGAAATTTACCTTCTTCTTGGCAGTGAGAGGCTGCTCTGTGGCCAGAATGACCAGTAGCTTCTGTAGGGCTCCTCCTTCAACAGCTTCCACCTGGACCTTTGGGTTGCTGGGGAGGAAACACAGGAAAGTGTGACTGTCCTGCATGGCCCTGGGAGATGCCAGGGAGATGAAACAGTACCAGCAAGCTGGAGAAACAAACACTAACAGGTGTGGACCCACCTGAGTGCAACGGCCTATGACAGAGATGACAGAGCCGAAGGTCTCGTACTAACCTGCTGCTCCCCAGCACCAGTGGGCTGGGGTGATCTGGGAGGTAAGTCACTTCTACTACTGTAAGGACATTCCCACACTGAAGCTGCCATTCAAAGCTTCTACTGCAGTGTCCCTGCTACAGAAAACACTCCCTGATGCTCCCAAGCAAAGGTTGGATGGTCTTTCTCTCCTGAGCCCAGGCATGTTACACACTGGGGGGCAATAATGAATGGGTCTGTTCCTTCTGGGCATGGGCCTCAAGGCCAGGGCCACTTATCAGCACTAGACAGACAGCATGCATAATGTGTGTGGGAAGAAGGCAGGTGGGAAGCAGGAGTTCCAGGGAGCCCCTGAATGCCAATGCAGGTCCTCATGCAGGACTAAACAGCATCTCCCTCTAGGCTGCAGGAGAGCAGCTACTGTGTATGACCTTCTCTGTCCCCAGATACTCAGTGTTCAGCACAGAGCCTATCACATCACAGGGCTCTGCACACTAGGGAATGAAGGAATAAACACACATATACAACCATATATGGGCTGAAAAACAGGAAGGCAACACAGAAACACAAAACCCAGCACTGCCTCTGTACCTCCACTACCCATCTGGAGACAGAGACACAGTGATGCTGTTAAACAAATATTTCAGCCTGGCCTACCCCTGTAATGACAGCTACTTGGGAGGCTGAGGCAGTTCAAGGCCAGCCTGGACATCTTATCAAGACCCTATCTCATGGGATTAGGGATGCAGCTCAGTGGCAAGTGTACATGAGGCCCTAGGTTCAATCCCTAGCACCACAAACAAAAGCAACCAAACAAAAAATCTGTCTCAAAAACAACACACATTTCAGGTCCAGCTTTCCTGGATGAAAGAAGAGAAGGCTTTCGAATAGGCTGAGTGCCAGGCAGGGGACATGGCGAGGAACCCTAGCAACTTACCCTTTTGCTGGCCCCTTGCTTTCTAAGATCACACTAATGACCAATTAAAGATTAAATGTTAAGCACAGAGACCTGTTTGGTCAGGCCCTCAGGGAAGGTCAAGGCTCTCCAAGTTAACACTTCACTGATGAGGTCTCAGTGGACAGAGAGGGGGGCAGAACTACAAAAAGCCTGAGGCCAGCATCATGGGAAGGCTGGGCTCAGGTCAGACAGGACCCACCCAGATAGCCCAAAATGGTACCAGAGTTTACCAATGTCCCCTTCAGTCTCCAGCTGCCATACCTTCACCAGCCCCCTGAAACTCCAAAGCATCTGTTCCTCCTAAGGCCCAATCCTCCTACCAAGGAAGCCCTCACAACATCCTGGACAGTGTGACACAGTAGAGGAAGCAAAGAAAAATCAGAGGGAGGTGGCTCCTGGTCCCAAACGCAAAAGAAAAGGGAGGCAGATAAAAAGAGATGTCCCAGTATGTAAAAAGTGCTCTCAAAAGGTGGCCAAATGGAGTGATGAGGGGGCCTACCCCTTCTGTTCCTACTCAGCTTAAAAACCCAAAGGAGATCTAGCAGGGGGCTACAGTTTTCCTGCTGTAAAACAGGTGACTCCTCTCCCCTCTGCATTCATCATTATTATTATTATTATTTTGTAGTTGTAGATGGACAGAATGCCTCTATTTATTTTTATGTGATGTAAGGATCAAACCCAGTGCCTCACACATGCTAGGCAAGCGCTCTGCCACTCAGCTACAGCCCCAGCCCACCCCTTTGCATTCCTGACATCCTCTCAACAGAAAGGATGTGTGGGGGTGCTGGCCTGTCCCACAGCAATGGTACCTTTGTGCCTTGGGAGCAGCTTGGAGGTGGACTAGGGTCCCTGGGGAAGGAGGGTTGACAGCTCCTCTCAAAATAGGCAGGCAGCCCAATGCAGGGGCCCTGCAGCACAGCCTCTCCCCTGTCCCCTGCTCCCCCAAATTGAGAAAGGCAGCTGCTTCATCAAATGCGTGAGCTAATTAGGGCTGTCTCTGCCATCAGTGCCTAAGGAACGCTCACCCACGACAGGCAGGGTCTAGCAGAGAAGACAACCACGCTATGAAATTCATACAAACGCCAAATTCTGCCTTCCCAAGAAGGGAGGCTATGGGGCTCAAAAGCACATCAGCCTCAGGGAGCACCTCCTATCTCCACGGGCCACAGAGCAATGAAAAACAAGGCCTCTCCAGATGGCCTGCAAAGCCTGTCACAGTGCTGTCACCATGGCCTAAGTTGATCACCTGGGGCTAAGCAGCCAGAGCCTTTCCTTTTTGTACACTGGGACCACAACCTGGAGAGAAGTTCCTTGCTTCAGAAGGTAGGCCGACACACTCCAAGGGCAACTGCAGCCATGCCAACAACAACCCACTCTCCCTCAGGCTAACTCCCAACCCTCCCCAGGAAGACAGTCCATTTAGAATAGAAGAGAATGGATTTCAAACACAGGGGATGTAAACCAGAGAGTTGGGCGTGGTGGCCCTTGCACACTGCTTGGGAGGCTGAGGGAGGAGGATTTGCAAGTGCAAAGCCAGCCTCAGTAACTTAAAATATTAAAAAGAGCTGGGGATGTGGCTCAGTGGTTAAGCACCCCTTGGTTTAATCTCTGGTCCCCAAACAATAAAATAAAATAATGAACCAGAGAAAGAGAATGACTAAGGACTTCCTGTGAGTTGCTAAAGTCAATTTCACAGGTAACAAATCCACATTTTCACCTGTGATAGAGTTCTGAAAGGCTTGGAYAGGTATGCAAGAATATGGATCAAATGTGGGCCTGGGCAGGATAAGCCTTGGCAGCCTGGGCCTGTGCCTTATCTATCCTTTTCACATGACCAGCTTAAAGGAGATGCCTACACTAAATGAGTCTTACCCCAGGTTGCTCACAGTCTCAGAGGTTCCATAAAACACCCTTCTGGAACAGCATTTTAGTGCTGTCTAGTTAAAGAGCTGAGGAAAGAGCAGAGGGCAGATGAGAAAGACCAGGCCTGAGTTTTGAGAAGGCCCTCAGTCCATCCAGGCAGGCACAGCAGAGCTGGGTGCTTCCTGTGCAAACTGCTGCTAGGGTGACACCACCCTGTTCCCAGAAACAGACTCTCTCTTTCAAGGCCTCTCAACCCTGGACCCTCAACTCTCCTAGCTGTGTGCTTTGGGGGAGATAACAAAAATAGCTCAGAGTAAGATATGAGGATGTACAAAGGCCAGGGCCTAGAGGACCCTAGGTAGGAATTCTGGGAACAATGGCTGATGACTTTGGGCAAGTCCCCTGACTTGATTTCCTCACCTAAGAGGGAGAACTAAGTATCCTATGTTAAGCATGGGAATGCTGCTTAATGAATGCCAAGCTGCTAGCATGTGTTGAGGTCAAAAGGCTCTAATTATAGTGAGTTTGCTATACAAAGAGGCCTGAGCATATCCATGACAACACAATTTTATTCTGTTCGGATACCTCAAGTACATAATGCCAGCCCTGTCCTTTTCAGCTCATGGGCTCTGGACTAGAGCTTTGTCCCATGTCCTGGAAAGGGCCAATGCTGTGGCTGGAAGGTGGGTGTCCYGACGGTGGGGATCTGAGTGGGTTAAACAGGCAGAGGGGCCTGGCTTGCCTCAGCAACACCAGTGGTACTAGTGTACTCAAAGTCAACAGAAGGATATTAAGGACGTAGCTCGTCTCTGACTTGATAAATGAGAATAAACCTTGTTCAGGGCTAAGCCGGCTGGACTGAATAAATACCATTAGCACTTGGATTACTGGGATGTTCACAATCAGCAGGCGAGTCAGCTGTCTGTGTGCAGAGGGACAGCAGCAGCTGCTATTCTGTAAATCTTGGGGGAAGGGGAGTGGGAGGGGTGTAGTGGATCACAGAAATGGAAATGACTGCATATGCAGAAACCAAACATTTCAGATCAGAGTGACAGCAATATGGGCAATCTGCCAAGTATCAAAGGTCATATTTTAGCTAACTAAAGTTGAGTAAGTGTCTGGGTAAAGAAGTAGGAGAGGAGCTGGCCTTAGGAGAGTAGCCAAGTCGGGCTAGGGGTGCATGGGAATGCTGCTTGATGAGGTCCAAGGTCTCCATCCCTGACACTGAGGACTGGGTGCATCATTTTCAGGCCCAAGTGCAAGATGAAAATGCAAGTTCCCTTGTTCAAAGATTATTAGACATTTCAAGATGGCAAGAGTAGCATACTAAACCAAGTGTGGGTCCTTTTAAGAGTGCGATCCTGAACCACTGCATGGGTTACCGGGCTACCATGGTGTGTGCACAGCATCTGGGTGTGCACAGAACCTGCTCAAGGAGAGACCAAACAAGAGAAAAAAGGAAGTGTGAATCAATAGAAAAGGAGAAAAATTGGAAAAGGCATAGATCTGGGATTGGGAAATAAAGCTGAGGTTGAAAGGGCTAGATAGGGGCCAGAGAAATGCTTAAGTAAAACTCTGAGGCAGAACTTGCATCTGCCAGACTCCCAAACAGGGCCTAGACTTCAGGCATGCCCACAGGACACATGAGAAATGTACTCTCTTGTGAGGCCTCATCGCATTTATTCTAAGTGGAACAAACATTCCTTCTCTTCAGTCTCTTAACAGACAAGAAATCAAGTCACTTTCTTAAATGCCCTAAGAAGATGCCATACAGTAGGACAGAGGCACATCCCAGGGTGATTGTGATGATCCTGCCTGCTGAAGCTGTGTGTGCTCACCTTCTTGCCCAGAGATATTTTCTGGTGGCTCCAGCTTGTCTATACCCAACATGTGGCCTTGATTAGCTGTGAAACACACACATTTGCAGCATGAGTAATCCTGAACAGGGTTCAAGACAGTCTGACATCCAGGGATGGACAGGATCAGTCAGGATACAATTACCCACTTGAATAAAAATGGAATAGGTCCAATCAA